CCCGGCCTGGCTGCGGGGGCAGAGCCGCCGCGCTTCTTCCCCCTGACAGGACATGGCGCCCGGGAAGCCGGAGGGCGGGGAGCATCGAGCACCTGCCTGGAAAAGGAGGGTAAGGGGGTCGAGATAAAACTTCTGGGCTGCAAGGAGACACAGAAGCCGAGACAAACCGTCCATCTGCGGTGAGAAGGGTGAGTAGAGGAGGGAGGAAGTGGGAGAGGGTTCAAAGTGGGCTGCTCTCAGTGACCGTGGCCTCTGAGGAAACTGGTGTGGGTGAGCCCTGCAGTGCGGTATGTACTTGGACAGAAACCTGCACTACGTGATGGTGCTGCATAAAAACCAGGGAGGGACCCTAAAACAGTGACCAGTTTATGTGGCTGCACTGTTGTGAGGAGCCATGGTCAGTGCATGTGGGTGCCCTGTACCTCTCAGGGTGCATCATTTTGTACGTGCATGCACACGTGCAAAACGCATAGGTACCTTGTGCATGTGTATTACTGTGTTTATGGGTATCTGGGTATACATATTGTATGAGTTGTGAATAAAAATCTTTCTCCGGCAGAATGAGTTCCACATCAGCCACAAGCTGTGTCCTGCCATCATCGCTTGGGCCTGAACAAGAGGACCAAGAGTGCTCTGAGACACACATGTCTGTTTTCTGGTATGCAGGACAGCTTGCTATTACTTACTATGATACAGAAGACTGCTCAGTTTACTTCATGCCTGACATACCTGATAATGAAGACCTCAAGCTACTGCAGAAAGTAATTGGGGAAGTTAATCCTCAGTGCATAGTGACCAGTGCAAAACAGGACCAAAGTATTTCCAAATTCCTGACCAACCTAACAGCTACTGAAGGTGATAAAGATATAGGAAAACCAGAAATTGTCCTGTTCCCTAACACAGATTTTGGCCTAGAAGTCAGCAAGCAACGGATCCTATCTAGACAATTTCCATTTATCCCATCTCATATGACTGCAACAGAGAAAATTCTCTACCTATCCTCAATCATCCCTTTTGAGAGCCCACTCGTGATACGAGCCCTAGGGGGACTCCTGAAGTTTCTAGACAGAAGAAGGGTTGGAGTTGAACTTGAAGAAAGCACTGTTGCAGTTCCTATTTTGGCCTTTAGGAAGTTTGTGCTGTCAGATATTGTGAATATGGACCAAGACACTTACTGTGTCCTGCAGATATTTAAAAGTGATATCCATCCTTCTGTGTACAAGCTGTCCAGTGGATTAAAAGAAGGATTCAGTTTATATGGAATTTTAAATCGTTGCAGGTGCAAATGGGGAGAAAAACTGCTCA